CCTGAATTGTTTTCAATTTTCAATTGAGGGGTTATTTTAAAGCAAATAGATGAACCTGGTGAAAGGGAGAAAGAGAGTGAAGAGGGAGTGTGGGAAAGAGAGGCTTTGTAATGACTTCCATGTGAGCACAGCCTGGGACCCCTGTCTCCAACCTCATCTCCTTCCATCCTTTCTTTCACTTTATGGTTGAAACACATCATAATTCTCCAACTTGTACACTATTTTAACCCTCTGGGGTCTTACTTGGACTGCTCTGTGTCCAAGTAGAGAAGTATAGTTCTTTATCCCTCCTTTTGGTACAGCTTGAAAACCCTCTGCCTTATGCCCTAAAAAAAAAAAAGAGAGAGAGAGGAGAAGAGCGTAGATTGGTTTGGCTCAGTGGATAGAGCGTCGCCCTGCGGACTGAATGGTCCCAGGAGAGAGAGAGAGAGAGAGAAGAGAGAGAGAGAGAGAGAGAGAGAGAGAGAGAGAGAAAGAAAGAGAGAGAGAGAGAGAGAAGCAAGGTTTTTGGAGAGGAGCAGGTTTGAATGCTGTATTTCACGAAAGAAAGGAATCCTATCACTCTTGGACTGGCAGACCTGGAATCTTAATTATTAAGACTGGAGAGAGAGAGAGAGAGGGAGAGAGAGGAGGAGGAGGGAGAGAGGTCCACTCCTGTGGCTGGCGGAGGTCTAGGAGTGGTTGAAAGGCTGCCATTATCTCCTTACTGCCCCCATCCCACCCCATCATCACTTATAAGGCATTCACTGTGGTTGGACTTGACAATGGGGACAATGTGGGTGCTCTTGGTGCCTGCCCAGACGCCCTTTCTGGGCTGGTGTGCTGGAGTCCATTCATTGTCTTCACTAGCTGAGTTTAGACAGAGACCCCCCAAAAGCTAGTAGCCATTGAAAGTCCTAGTAAAGGTCAGGGCTTGAAAGTCCTAGCAAAGGTCAGGGCTGTGCACCACCCAGTTAATCTAGGAACCACTCAGTTAATTTAGGTAATAATAGTTGAAGCATCCCCACCTTAGTTCCCTTAATTCCTTAGATACTTATGTAGATCCTTGTTGATTATTGTTAATCAGATACTCTGCCTACACTCGGAAATCTATTGATGAGTTAATCAGATACTTTTGTCTACTCCTGGAAATTGTCTGCTGATCTGTGTGTCATTGAAACTTCCTTACCCTAAGGGCTACTCCAGATCAATAAAAGATTGGAGCAGCCTGAGATGGGTGGAAGTCCTTCGGGACTTGCCCACCTGGTCCCCCAATATTGCAAAATTATCTCGTGTCTTTTTCTCTCATTTGTTGTGCGGCTCCTCTTTCAGATACCGAACCCTACTCCACGCAGAACGTGGAGGGAGTGTTACTCGACACTGGTGCATTCTTTATTTAGCTCCTGTGAGTTGTGCATGTTGGCTGCTAAGGACTCAGAGCTGCCTCTTTTCCTAGAGGCTTGTCCTCAGCCAAATGGGAGCTCTTTTCCACCCTCACCCCTATTGCCAATGGCTGAATGACAAAGGGGCACAAAAAGCCTGCCTTCTTGCTTCAAGGTGAGACCAGTTCTATGGTGTAATTCATGCTTGAGAGCCCCCGTGGGATCAGGCTGAGGCTGGACTTCAGCTGACCTGGTTCTTGCTCTGCTCCTTCCTTTGACCTCTCTTGCTTCCCTCCCTCCCTTTTTTTCTCAATAAATCCTGTGCACTCGCATCCCTGTCTCAGGCTCTGCTTCTAGGGAGCCGTGCCTAGAAGAGGGGAGGATTGAAGATGCTGTGGGAGGCATGCTCTCTGCCCTCAAGGATCTTGCAGTACCCTTGTAGAGATAGGCCACAAACACGCACAATGATCCTCCACAACACAGGATGGACCAGGCTGGAGAAGTGACTGGAGGTGCAGTGGGGGAGGAAGGCTTTATGGAAGAAATAGGCTAGGCCATGAAGAATAGGTAGGACTTGAAATGTTGGGAAAGGGAAAAAACTTCCTAGGCAGGAAGAAATTTCCAAGGAAAGGCCCTAAGATGGGTAAGAACCTCTGCCCTCACCTGCTCCTGTCTGGTATCTGTGACTAGGGGAACCACCCAGGTCAGTGGGAGTTGGGGACCTCTGTTTTGACAATCCCAATAATGGATCTAACTTTGGCAGGGCTGCTTGAGAGAGCCATGCCAGGCCACCCTGAGTCCAGGGAGGACTCAGTCCTCACGAGAGGCTGGGGGGCATGGTCCACCTGTAACAACCTTCTCACTTTGGAGAAGGGACAGAAACCCCACCAGCCCTGCGCGGAGGGCTGGCAACTCAGGGGGCCTGAGGGCCACTTCTTCAAAGAGCAGAGGGCACTGAGGGGCTCCACACACCTGCTGGACCGTGAGCCTGGGGTTTGTTCACAGGAGTTCAATGACGTAGTAGGCAGTTGCTAGGGCCCCCAGAGCCACAGCTGCAGTCCCGAGAGCCTGGAGCACAGGAATTACGATGACTGGTGTGCTTCCTTGCAGGTCCTCTGCAAAGCAAAGTAGAAAGCCCATGGGTTGGGGGAAGTTGGGCTTTAGTGCCTTTTTATGGGAAAGGGAAGATTGGGGGGGTTCCCTCAGGATTGCGGGAACACCCACTTCTCCCTACCGACCCTCCTCTCAAGGGGACACAACTCTCCCACTCCTTCTAATGAAACCTACCACAGGACCCCAGGACCTGAGGATGGGCTGGCCCAGGACACCAGCTCCCCGGGACATTCAGGGAGCCAAGCTACAAAGGTGGTCAAGGCCCCCATGTGCCAGGCCCTGTGTAAACACCTCACACCCCAGGTCTCCTTGGACATCAAGACAACCCTGTGAAGGAGGTTCTACCAGGTAGCTCCATTTTGGGGACACATATGACACCTGAGGAAACACATACTACACCCACCACGAAGGCAAGGAAAATACATGAGTATGATACTAATTGTGAGGAAGGCTTTCACCGATGTAATATCCACTTGGGTAAAAATCCTATTCAAGTAGCGGTTCTTTAACGTGAGTGTGTATTTCAAGCCAAGAGCCAACATTCCACTCCTCTGAGAAATGGAACGATTACGGAAGCGGGTGCTAAACATTTGAACAGAATATGTCTTAACCCTGACCAAACTGGACCCCTGCCCCTTCCCCCTCACGTTCCTAATTCTGAGCCTTGCTTTTGCCTTTTCCTCCATCTCGAGTGCTCTCCCTCTAAAATAAGCCATAGAAGATCCTAAGGTCCTTTTAGACTCCGCGCAGATGTGATTGACACTACGCAGTCTGCCTGGACTCCAGTTCAGGAGGGAACACTCTCTTTTCCTGAAGCTCTTCGAATGTCTCCTATGGGACACAGATCACCTGGCTCACAACTCAGTTTCTCAATGGACATGTCTTACCTTACCATGCAGGCTGTACAATTTTTAAGGGTAAAGTTCCCTGTTCTGGTTTCCCTCCTAGTACCTGGCATCCTGTGCAGATTAGCTTTTCCTACTTATTGGTTTTAAAGTGATATGAGAAGGTGGGGGAGGATGGATGGATGGGAGGTAATCAACCAAAGACCTTATATGCATATATAACTCATGGACACAGGCAATAGGGTGCTGAAGGCCTGGGGGAGGGGAGTGAGGACAGGGCCGGGCCGGAGGGGGCCAATGAGCGGGGGGGAGGGGACACATGTAATACTTTCAACAATAAAGAGTTATTTTAAAAAATTAAAGTGATATGAATCCATGGCACAACGTGGCATCAGATGGACAGAAGGACTAAGTGTGTTGGAAGACAGTTAATAATAATGAGTGGGGGACAGGCCCTTCCTTGACAGGGACTTACCAGGTTATAGAATATTTTAGCTCTAGTCATGCTCTTCCAACACACCTGGGTATCTGTTTGTTTCTCTTTATAGGTTTGTTTCAAGGATGACAGGAGAGGGGATCTGGGAAGAGGAGCAGGAGGAAAGTGGGGGATGGGTGGGCTCTGTTCCTGGGTCAGCAGTATCAGATTGTCAAGTGGAAGACTTCTTCCGTGGACACCTGTGAGACCCTGGATACAGGCGGAGCTGCTTTGGGCCCAGAGCTGGGGATGGGCAGAGGCCCCTTTCCCAGCCCTGGCACCCCTGGAAAAGGTTCCACCTGGTGGATTCTAGGAAGAGGCAAAGAAGGGCAGAACTTCAGATGATGCTGTGGGTGGGGGGCTGCTCTGCCATGGACAGACCAACCTTGGGGCACTGTTCCCTGTCGGGGTTGCTAGAAACAGCCTGAGACCCTCTGCATGGGGTGGAGGTCTTGCTATTACCAAGGGGGCATATGAGTTACACTCAGTATTTGTGAGTAAATTCCAGGGGAAATTCACATGCAGGTAAAGAACCTAAAGCTCTCAGCTGTGGTGTGGGCCACAGAAGGAGGCCAATGGCCAAACAGAGCATTTAATTCCAAAGCTCTGACGAGGCATTTCTGAAGGGCTGTGAGGGGGTGAGCTCTGAGGAAGGTGGGTGCCTTTCGGGAAAAGAGAAATGAAGTCCTCGAAGAAGCAATTCCTGGGAAGGAAGACAAGCGGCACCTCTCTGTGCAGGTGGGACACCCTGGAAGGATGGGTCAGGTCAGAAAGGGCCAGTGCCAAACCTTAGGCTGTGGCCACCTGGAGGGAGAGGCTTTCCTTTTGGCCTAGGATTCCCAGGCGGAATAACACAAGACTACAAAACGATCTGGGGGAGAGCCTGGCCCTTGGGAACGGTATGTCCTGAGGGCCCAGCCCTCCATGAGCTCCAGAACCTGTAGAAGGTGAGGAGGTTTGGGAATCCTCTCCCTGGCACGGTCAGCCAGGCCCGAGGCAGAAGGACATCGGAGATGCGGCTGTGGCACAGGCCCAGACGACGCCAGCAAGCAGAGCTGCCGGGGCAAGTGGTACAGGAACAGAAGGGGCGAGTCGGAGGCCCTGGGTGGACAGAAAAAGAGAAAGATGAGGGACCTACCAGCCTGCAGGAGGCGGAGGAGATCCTGGAAGACACAGAAACAAACCGTGGGAAATTAGTTGTATTTCAGACCGCTGCTACCTGGGAATAAAAATAATGATGCAATGGCTTCACATCATTATCCATCGTATTTAATTATCAGAACAATCCTGTGAAGTGGAATATTGTTATTCTCAGTTTACAAATGAGGAAACTGAGGCTCTAACTGAGAGTAAATAGATTGAAGAAGTGGGCCTCAATTCAGGATTTCTTGATTCAGGGCTGTCTCCACAGAATTCATAGGAAGTGGTGGCAGTAGATGACTGCCCTGCTGTGAGGTGGCACTCGATTCCTGCACCTGGAGCTGCCACGTCCCATTTCTGTGGGGCTCACTGGTTCATCCAGAAGGCAACCGCCACTCCAGTTTACAGTCCTTGGAATACTTTCCCAGACTCATCTCCTTTTCTGTCCTCCTGTGCAGTGGATCCCAGCGGAACTCAGAGATGGCGCCCTCTGCTGTTTAAAATGACCTCTGCCTCATTTCCTCCCCTTGCAGCTACATCTGTCCTGGCTTCCTGATGGAACTGTGGATTCTTCCAACCAAAGCTCCGTGAAGACAGTGGTCAACCTTGGCAAACTCAGCACACTTCCTGCTTAGACCTGCCCATGATGGATGCTTTTTTTTGGACTGGAAGAGGAAGAGATTCTAAAGGCAAGACTTTATCTTTTTTCTGTTTTTAGTTTAAAAAATTTTTTTGAAATGGACATATAATTTCCATACCATAAAGTTCACCCCTTTAACATGTTCAGTGGTTTTTAGTATATAAACAAAGGTGTGTAACCATCATTGCTACCTAATTCCAGAATATTTTCTTTTCCACTTAAGAAACTCCGGCCCCATTAGCAGTCACTGCCTATTCTCCACTCTTCCCAGGTTCTGGCAATAGATTCGCCTATTCTGGACATTTCAGAAATGGAAGCATACAACATGTGGGCTTTTTTAACGGATTGGCTTCTTTTACTTAGCCTAATGTTTTTGAGGCCCATCCATGTTGTAGCATGTATCAGCGCATCATCTCTTTTTATTGCCAAATAGTATTTCATAGCACATCTGTACCACCTGCTGTTTATCCATTCATTAGCTGATGGACGTTGAGTTGTCTCTTTTTGGCTATTGTGAGTAATGCTGCTATGGACATTTGTGTACAAGTTTTTGTGTAAGACATATGTTGTTGTTTTTTTTTTACATCATAAACCAGGAATTTAATTTTTTGTGTGGAAAACTCTTTCTAAGAATCCATTACAACCAACAAAATAATATTGAAAAATTGGCTAGGAGCTGAAGGCTTAATTTTCCATAAACTTTGAAGTGGTAGAACATGTTTTTAATTCCCTTGGGTATATACCCAGGAGTTGGATTGCTGCATCTTACGGTAACTTCATGGTTAACCCTTCGAGGAACTGCCAGACTTTTCCACCGCAGCAGCACCATTTTACATTCCCTCCAGCAGTGTCTGATGCTTCTGACTTCTCCACAGCCTCACCAACACTTGTCATTGTCCATTTTTTTTATTATAGTCATTCTAGTAGAAGATATGTCTTTTATTGAGCTACAATATTTTCTGCATATAAAAAGTTTGGATTTTAGACTATGGCATCCTTTATTTAAAGGCCCTCATCCCTTATTGCCAACATTCCTTCCTACTCTGGCTCAAAGGGAGAAAATTCCTTTGATAGAAGAAGAGAAGGTGGCCATTGTAAGCACTGAAGAGCCACCACCAGTGCCTGGATAAATTGGCCAGCAGTAGCACATGAAATTGTGGATAGATGAGAGTCTCATATTTGTATTTATCTAAATGCAATAAATAGCACCAGGTTTCCAATTTAACGAAATGCAGTTCTTTTACAACTCTTTGGAGCAATAAGCCACATCAATAAGCAGAACTCCCCATGGGGGTGAGTCACATGCATTCACTAAAAGATTTGGGAATGTAAAGCTTTGCGTTCTACAGATATCCGTTCTAAAGGCCACAATCCAGAAATGTTTAGTTCAGCGGTTGATGATCATAACATACACAATATGTAGTGTAGCTCTCAAAACCATTTCAGATGTTAAGAACGGATTGATTACTAGCCTCAGGAATATGTCACAGAGATACCTTGGGTATATACATATCTCTTATTTATGTCCACATTATCTCAGAGGGATATGCTGTGGCCTGGGGAGTGTGGCCTGGTCAGGACCACAGAGCCATGGGCTCTGGCTCACGGATCCAGGAGCTCAGAGAAGGGTGTGCTTCCTCCAGGGGAGATCACCAGACCTCGGGGGATCAGAAAATTAGGGCTGCAGTTAACAGCGAGAATTCTGGAGTCAGAATAGACTGAAGTTCCCCGCTCAGGGCTTCTAGTGCCTGCTTGAGAGTGAGCTGCTTGATTTCTTTGGGCCTCAGTTTCCTCATCTATAACATGGAGATGATACTAGTATGTTCTTTATAGAGTTGTTAAATGAGAAAATTAACATAGATGGCTGAGCTGAATGCTGGGTACACAGTTGGTTAGCTATTACCATTATTATTAGTAGTAGTTTTAACCAGCCCACCTCCTGAATGCCACTTGAATTTCCTCTACAATCCAATGTCCATTCAGACTCTGGCTAACAAGAAGAGGGGGCGGGGCACTTTTCCCAGACGGTCATTCCTTTGTCAGAGAGAGCTAACTGTTGGAGTTTTTTAATGTTGAGGAGAGAAATCCGCCTCTGTCTTCCCTCGGTAAGGTTGCCAGATTTAGCAAGTAAAAACGCACGATGCCCATGCAATATTTGGGACGCACTTATACTAAAAAATTTTAAAATCATTTGTTGGCCTGCATTTTACTGGGAACTCTACCCATGGGTCCTTAGTCAAACAACTGAGGACAACAGGGAAAAAGTCTATTCACATCTTCCACCTGACAAATTTCCTCCAAACCCTTCCACCAAATCTCAAACACCAAGTGGCGCTCGCCTCCCCCTACTTCTCTCATCCACCATCAGCCTGGACTTTCCTCTTTGGATTAGATGGTAGGTATCTGTTACAGCAAATGGAGATTGTCTGACGAGGACAGAGGGAAGCAATATGACCACTCCCTTGTCCTAAACTGCATAATATCAATGCACCCTTGGTTTTTATTTTTGAGCAGCTATGTGGCACCCTGATTCCTAATGAGCACATATGACCACTGAGCCATGTGAAAGGTTAATATGGATGCGGGCTGCCCTCTTCAGTGACACTCAACATGGTGAGAAATAGCAACACCCAGGAACCCTGATCTCTTGGGTAAAAACAAAACCCCAAATCCTCACACGCCACAAGCACAGTTCCAGAATACACATTAACCACACATCACTACCCAGTAAGAACCAGCTTCTGGGGTGACCCGGGATTCAGCAGCAGAAAGGCTAGACCTGTTGAGCTAGAAATCTGCTCACCTGCTTTCTTGGATCCATGGGGTGTTTTTGTGCCAGCGTTCTGAGTCAGCAGGCCCTGAGCTGACTGGCTGGTTTGGGGAGCCGGGAGGGCCCAGATCACAGGCCTCTGTGCAACGGAGCCCACGCTGGGCTGCTGGGGGGTGGACCCTGAGGCGGGCTGCTGGGGGGTGGGCTCTGAGCAGGGCTGCTGGGGGGTGGGCTCAGAGCTTTGTTGCTGCTGCTGTGGGGTACACCCCGAGATGGGCTGCTGGGGGGTAAACTCAGAGCTCCTATGCTGCTGAGGGGTGCACGACAAACTGTTCTGCGGTGGGGTGGACTCCACGCTGGACTGATGTGGGGTAGAACGCTCGCTGGGCTGCCGTGAGGTGGAATCAGAGCTACAGCGCCGTGAGTTGGAGCCACGGCGTTTGGACTCTGGCTTCTTCTTTTTGCCCTTCTTCATGGTGGGTCTTCCTCACCTAAATGTGGCCCTACATGGAGCTGCCTAATCTCCCGGCTCCCTCCTGGAGGGGCCGTTTGCCCCTGCCCTGGGGGAACACTCTGGCCTTGGGCTGGACCCACACCCCTCCTGTGAGGTCACAAACACCAGGATGGCTCCATGGCAGTGCCCTGGGGACAGTCTTCTCTGCCTAGCCTGCTGTTCCCCCTCTTCCCTAGCTACTGGGATGGGCAGAGGGCAGGTGTCAGACCCCTCAAGAACCTGGGTTAAGCCTGGCCATGGGGCCTGTGACAACCTGGATCCCTAGGATTCTGCGACTGGAGTGCCTCCTTCAGGCACTTCTCTGCTGGTGTGTCCCGGGTCCCCTTAGAGCTATCCATTCACTCTAAGACCCCCTGGCTGTGACGCTCAACTCTGCCACTGGTTTCCACATAACAAAAAGCTGAAAACCAAAAACCAAACCCCCAAAACCACTTCACCACGCATACTGTGTTTTAGGTAACGTTACCGAAGATTTGGGGGTCCATGGAAAGCCCACAGCCTCCTACCATCTCAGCTGTTCCCCCAGATTATTTTCATAGAGTAGCTTCCCCCTTCTTCCAAAACCTGCCCTCCCCTACTGCGGGAAGGGTCTTGGGGGAAGGGGGTGTTATCCAACTTTGGCAAGAACCCTTGCATGTGGCAAAAGAATTTCCCCTACAAACGTAATGGCAGTTTGGAAAACCACATTTTCCTCAAACTCATCACGCCAGCCACAATAGGCTACCTTTCAAACCCCAAACTCGTCGGGTCAATTAGGAGACTATGAATCCTTCTCAAAGTTAACAATGTGATTTTCCTTTTAGGATGGGAGAGAAAAAAACATTTAAAAAAGACAACCTTAGGCTTCACATGTTGACTCCAACAGAAAATGTGTTTGCATTAGAAGACACTACTTCTGCCATTGATGCATCATGAGGTGGTGAGTAGTCTACTGTCAACCCTTTGAGTCTGGGGTGACACTCTTGCCCCAGGAGAAGGTTTAGGTAGACCTATAGAGGAGGAATCCCCATGCAAGGCCAGATCCGATATGAACTGTGAAATGACGGGAAATATTTTAGAGATTCTAGAACCTGAAAAGACCTTGCTGATTCTCTTTCTGCAGAGGGGAAAGTGAGGTTCAAGGTTAAACTGCCATTCCAAAGTCACACAGTGGAGGGGCATTGAAGGGGCTAAATTCCCGTTCAGAGATCTCTCTTTTCCTGACTCCAGAAGGCAACAGGGAGTCAGGTAATTATACAGGCCTTAAAGTCAATCCCTTGAGAGGATTGAAGGAAAAAAAGGCATGAAGGATGAGAAGTGAAGGGAAGCGCAGATCAATAAAGTTGGGTTGAATTTGATTGAGCCGGGGCGTGAGGAGATTCAGGGAGCCAGAGAGGCTACAAGAAAGAAGGTGGTAAGTCCCTAAAGTCAAGAGCAATGGCTCCCTTGGGGGATTCACTTCAGAATCAGAGAGACTGGAACCCGGTCAGGAATCCTGTCTGGATCCGGCAGACAGATCACACCCCCTAAGGCATTTATCTCTGTAAAACTCAATTTTCAGGCACTGACGGGATTTTGACTGAGGGCCTCAACTTGATGTTTTTTTAAAAAAATATGAGTAAAGGAGAGGGAGAGAGAAACATTAATCAGTTGCCTCCTACTTGGGATTGAGCCCACAACCTGGGCATGTGCCCTGAGCTACACAGGCCAGGGCTCAACCTGGTTTAAATCAGCCCTATTGACATTTGGGCCAGAAAAGTCTTTGTTGTGGGGCTGTCCTGTGCATTGTAGACAGTTTAGCAGTGTCCCTGGTCTCTGCCCATGAGATGCTGGTAGCAACTACTGCTCCTTCCAAGAGAAACCAAAATATCTACACACATTGGTAAATGTCAATGTGTGTGTGTGTGTGTGTGTGTGTGTGTGTGAGAGAGAGAGAGAGAGAGAGAGAGAGAGAGAAAATTGCCCTTGGTTGAGAATCACTGGTTTAAATGCACTAAATAGGTGCAAAAATATCCTGGTAGGAATGAAAGAAGCATTTCATTTCACACCAAGGAGCAAAAAAAGACATGAAAATAGATCCTTGGTTCCCCAGGAGAGAAATGGAAGAAACTCAGAGGGTCAGGCTTTGGGAGGAGTGGGAGTTTTTCCATGGCAGTGGAGGAAATACATGGGGGTTCTTTAATAAGGGTGGCCCCAAGTTGCAGGGGAGGGCACTTGTGGAGTAATAGGTTGGGTTAGAAGGACTAGGAAGAATGGCACCACCATAGTTCTTTGCTAGAGCATCTCCCATGCCCTCTGCCTTCTGGCTGGAGCACAATTTCCTAGCCTGAAGTCTGACTCCTCTATCACGCAGTCATACCCTACTGTCCCAGGTTGCTGCTACCCGCGTCTCGCTCTAGCCAGCCACAAGCACCAGAAGTCTGGTGAATGTGCCTCACTTCCCTGTATTTGTGGAAGCCCTTCCCACTCGGTCCCACCCCTCTCTCTTCCCATCATGCAGATCCATCTCAAGTGGACCCAGCCACTCATAAAGCCTTTCTCAAGATCTCCAACTGGAAGCCATGTCTCCCTCTCGGAGCCCAGATCTTGGATCACTTTCTGCCGGGTGTCAGAATGGCTGCTACCCTTGTCTTCTCTTAAAGTCCACACTCCCAGACTGTGGAGACCGCGAAGGGCCAAAGTCCAGGGAAAGGGCTTAATGTAAGCTGCCTGAAGGTGAGAGTAGAAAGCAGATAAAGAAAGCAGGAAACTGGTGACCACAGGGTGGGTGTGGATGATGGGGGACAAGGCACCTCAAGACTGCATCATTAAGGGGTAGTTTTCAAAGGTGGTCTGGGTTTTCTGGTCTTGGCTGAAGACCACAGTGGGAACAGTCCATAGTCAAGGGCTTTCCTAACCAGGCATGGCAGCCGTGGGAAAATCTCGTGGACTATTTGGGAGAGTCAGAAGAATGAGTCTAAGGGCCTGCAGAGTTAGTCGTCAGCCCAAGTGGTGCTGCCCTCTGGGTGGATCCCGGGCACCCAGAACAAGCATGCCAACGTCTGTGCTGAGGCTAACGCCTTAGAACTGGATGATACCTCAGGCACCAACTGGCCTTAGTCCCCTATGTCAGGAGGGCAGCAGCTCACAGAGGGGGCAACTAGCTTTGTCCTCCAGCAGGAGAGTGGCAGAGCCTCGAGGAACCTGGCTTTGGATGCCCTGCCCAGAGCACTTCCTTCTGCCCCACCGCTGCCCCAGGGGGCTTCTGGAGACAGAAGGCACTTGGTGCTCACTTAAGAGCCCACTGCCCTGGACCCTTAGACCCACAGATTAACCCTCTGGGGCCGCAGATGCGGATTCCTCGATAGGAAGGGTCTCAGGGGCCGTGAACAAGAATTGTGCGGCTACTGTAAAGCAGCACCTTCCCGAGAGGGCTGCTGTGAGCATCAGAGGTGAGAAATCCTTAGCGCAGCACCTGGCTCACACTAGGCATGTTTTGATTGCAACTGTGGTTCCCTTGGAGGAGGAGACGGAAGGACCAAGCAAGGAACAAGTGGAAGTGGAGAGGAGGGGGCGGGTCTGGGGCCTGCAAGCTCCCAAATCTGTGCTTTACATGGGCTGATTCCCAGTGGTGAGCAAAGGGTCGGGTGCCTGGCTGGGAAATGTAACAACAAATCAAGTGAATTCGAACCCGTGTGACCCCAAATTATCCCAGTGAGCACCCCTGGGGACAGAAATCTAGTTCATCTTCCCCCAAACGGTGTCAGTGGAAGCGCCAGGGGAGGGACCATCACATTAGGGACCTGTCCAGTACCAGGACCAGCAGGGTCAAGGCACAGGCCTCCCTCCGCATTTGTCGTACTGGACGACGCTCCAAACAACTGAACCACACAAGCCTCCCTCTGTATTGAAGTTTCTCCCAAAAGCCCTCGGATATCTGCGGCAGCCTGGCGTTCCCACCCCTCGCTTCAGGCTCCTCACCCTCTGTCTGAGTGTCTCGATCCACGAGGGGGACGCAGCCCCGCGTGGAGACCTCTCGTGCTCCGTGGGCGGCGCGCTGGATGTCCAGGGTGCCCTCGGGGCGGCTGGGGCTGAACACGGCGGTGTGCACCTC